CATGCAGAAACACGCAAACAAAAACACTAGGTTAAATTTTAACCAAGGATTAGCCTTAGCTTAGAACAACCGACCCCTGGTCAACCTACAAATATTAATTAAGGCGCTATATTTAAAGCTTGGTGAAACCAAATAGACGACTATATAGACCCAATACAGAAGTAAACATTTCATTTTACAGTCGACAATCAAATGTTGTGGCCGTAAAATGTAGCAAAATACTGATAACAGTTTTAAACAGAGTTTTTACTAATATTTCACGACTACATAGCGGATAAATGCAATTTATATTTTATTAACCGCCATGTGTTCGAGATCATATTACTATTTCACTAACAAAAATTTACATACATACAAATTTGCATGCACAAATTTATATTCCCTGACCCCAGCGTAAATGCAAATTTAATATAAGTCGATTAAAAATTCTTACCTAAGATCTTTCAGTCCCGGCCTAAGATCTTTCGGCCCAGATCTTTCAGTTTGGCTCTTGGAGAACTGCAGTTTTGAAAATTCGCACGTTGGCAGCACGGCGCAGCCTTTCTTCAACGGCGCAGCCTTTCTTCAGTGATAAATTCATCGTATTGTTGCCTCAAGAGCGATAATTCCCCTGAAATATGTTCGCTTAGGTTTGCTTGTTGAAAGATTTCGACGAGCTTGCTAAGAACATCGACTTTTTTTAAAAGCTTCCATCCTGATAGCATCCATATAGTTTGTGATGTATTATTCTTTATCCCGTCAAGTCGACAAGTATCGAACTTTATTGTTGATCATTTGTATTGCGCAATCAAAACAGAGCCACCGTGGCAGACCGTGGCGCACATGACCACAACTTTGCCCTGTGATTGGTTTGCAACGCTGCACCGTGGCAGAAAGTTACTATATTTAGTAACAATTGCGCAATTTTTTGCACGCTGACCGTGGCATTTTGTGGCTGTGATCGCGGCTTCGAATTTACGACTGTTTTCCGAACATATTCGGCACAATTCGGCACGCTTTCGGCGGTTTTTATAGTTCAGTGTTTAACTGGATAATTATACTATTGAACAAGGAATATATTTCGGACGTTTTTCCTGCTTTTAGCACATATATATTACTGTAATATGAGAACAATTACGAAAGATATTATTCAAATTGTTTGCTATAGACCTATATTTGCTCAATTTTGCTGTATTTCAAATAACTAATATATACTTCTTAAAAATGCGTAAGCAGTCTAATGTAGTATCCAACAAAGGTGAACCCCGGAAAATCTTAGGTGGGAAAAATCTGACCGTGGCTCGAGCCACTTTTGCCACGGTCTGGATCCGCGCCTGGTTGCAGGTATTCCAACTCTCATATTTTCTGACTGACACCATGTGTGGCGAATTGATCGTCACATCGACTGTGACGAATATAGGAGTGATTGCATGTTTGTGGTAAATAACGCTCTGATGTAAAAAAAAGAGTACTGTTAATATCAAACAGCAGTGCAAAATTCTGTAACAATGTGACGTACAGTGCAAAAATCTGTAACAGACTGATCGGACTGGTGGAAAAAACAATCGGCTTCAAGCAGTCGTCAAGTGACTGTCACAGATTGCTTCAAAACAAAACAAACATGCATGGCGGTCGCGCCACAGAAGTAAAAGTTAAGTTCGGGTGGAAAAAATGGAATTTATCTTATATAATGGATAAGATTCCTCAAACGAAACTTGCCAAACTTACATATTTGAGTAAAATTTCAAACCGTTAACATCGTATAATGTGATATGACAAAGCAGGAAAACTTTGCCACTGGACGGTTCGCTTTAAACGTAATTAGTTAAATAAACCCATAATTATCTCGAACATTTTTATGTATATTTAAAAAATACGTAATAGGGTGGTTTCTCGTGAAATTTGGATAAAACAAGCACTCGTCCTTCAACTCGTCCTATTTTGTTGCTGTTTGAAAAACTCACTCCTGCATGTTTCATCCCGATTAAATTGTACGTCAAACGGAAAACGCCAGGCAAAGAAATATTTTACGGTATCAGGCAATAAAGAGTAAATGAACTTGCTGTATTAAAACTGAAATACATAATTATTCTTTCGACGCAAGAAAGAAAATGTAAAACGGAAACGTTCGACGAAAATTTTGCCAAGAAAGTTTGAACCTGCCGTTCCCGGAAACGTGAAGCTTAAACTCCCTAATATCGTAAATAGACTGTGCATTTGTTGTTCCCTTTTGTAAATATATGACCATTTGCCAACTAATTTCAATATTTTTCCACTTAGACGTTATATGGTGTTGATGAATTGGTTGAACAACAAACAGGAGGAAAACTGGAAACGAGATGACCGATTACAGGTCTTACAGACCGTAAAGCGGGCGGAAAAAGCAGCAAAGTCAAACATGAAAAATCTGTTTACTGACGTTTACGATGTGATGCCTCGACACCTGGCCGAACAGTACGATGAATGCACTGCTCATCTCCGTAAATACCCTAATGAATATCCAATTGATAATTTTTCCAAAAACTAGGTATTAAAAAGAACCGCTACAGTTTCTAGATTGAAACATTTTAAAGTAACTACCAGGTTTAATAAAAATTAGATTGCGTGAAATGAACGTTTAAACACGTCAAATTTAAGAACAATTTGTGTAAGTAGCCTGAGGACGAATAGTGAACTATCCGAAACAAAGCTAAAATAAAAATATTATCAAAAACCTCTTGTGTAATCCTTGATTTAAATTCAAAACACAAAATTATTTAACTACCAGGATGTTGGACATCGAGGTTCGATTCCTGCTAGAATGAAGGGGAAAACAAAGTTGTCGGTCAGTGAAAATCGAAAAATCGCGCCGCTTTGTCGAATATATCGCATCCGATGTATGTATAATTATTATATACACAATTGCAAGGTCTAGCTAGATATGAGGTATTCTATGGCGTTATATTTCCGCCAAAATTAAAGTTCGTATTTGCAACATTATAGTTCGTATTCGCAATATTATAGTTCGTATTCGCAACATTATAGTTTGTATTCGCAACATTATAGTTCGTATTCGCAACATTATAGTTCGTATTCCCAACATTATAGTTCGTATTCGCAACATTATAGTTCGTATTCGCAACATTATAGTTCGTATTCCCAACATTATAGTTCGTATTCGCAACATTATAGTTTGTATTCCCAACATTATAGTTCGTATTTCCAACATTATAGTTCGTATTCGCAAGTTGAATTTTGGCGGATGAAGGTGTCAAATCTCCGCCCAAATTCAAGTTTGTAAATTAAAGTTCATATTTGGAAAAATTCGCTACAAGTGGAAACACTGAAAAGCAACAGTGCTTGGGGGCTTGGATTCTCTCATCCAGTGCGATTATATACTTTTATCGTTTGGCAATTTGCCTATTAAAAATGAATCAAGATGATATAAATACGGCGAGGGAAGCGCTTTTGCAGGTGGCAGATTGCCTATACGGGTGATTTTAGGCCCCAGTTACGATACCAGATTCGCATCTTACAACTTTTCATATTTGAAGTTTTTGACTAATTCTGTTATATTATCTACCCTGGATTCCAGAACCTTTGGTAGTAAATAATGAATTGAAACGTCGCGAAGGCTCTGGTTCAACGGGGAAATTCTTTGATTACACCGCGCCAATCACAAAACAGAATTAGTGGTTTTAGTACAGATTCTGTACTATTCTTTCGAACGTCATGTTGAATCCCATGCGTACCTCACAGTGGTAAGGGGCGGACCATTTGATTTTTGAGGGGGTTGGAAGATTTCGAAAAAACTTTCCTGCAATCCAAGGAGAAAGAAAAAAAATCATGCAGCATATAATCGAGAAAAAAAATCATGCAAAAGAAAACGCTCAAAAAAAATTCCTACATGTAAATCTACTGAGGTGCTCACTTCAATATTGTGTCCACAGGCTTGCAAGATTTTGCATTTTTGAGCAGGCACATTTGCTTAAAAGAACACGGAGTGAACAGTGGACAACATCACAGGGATTCTACCGCCTCTGGACTTTGGAGCTTATAACATACGATAGCCAGTGGCGTTCCCTGACAAAATTGTTGCCCCCCCCTGAGAAAATCTGGGCTTAAGATATGTATAAGTTTATAAGTTATTTATACATATCTAATATGCATGGTAGAAAAAGTATTTTTGGATGGTTGAGTTTGTGTGCGTTCTTTCATAACATATAGCTCCAAACTAAAGCTTCAAAGGCCCATCTACAGGATGCCAGTTGAACGTATTGTGTATACGATGATTTTAATGCGAAAATGCCAGTTCGGAGAGTCTAGATTTTAAAAAATTTCTGAAGAGGATGCAACCCGAGTCCCCAACAAGCTATCTGTATGAACGATTGAAAAGCTACAGAGCGATATTTGGTGGAACCATATAAGATATCTATGGGTGGAACATTTGTTTCGGAGGGCGGTTGAAAGTCGCATTATTGAAATCTTGTTTTATTACATATTAATCAAAGCTCAATTTGTGATTTTCCCTTGCTTAAAATAAAGGACAGTATTACTAAGTGTTCCTTAGGCTTAGTAGAGCAAAGTTGTTGGACGAATCCATGGCTGAAAACGCAGGAAATAGCATTTCCGAAGTTCAAATTTTAGGTTTTGGTGCAGTTGTACATTTTTTGTAAGTAAACCTGCACGCTTTAGTGTGGGGTACATTAAGACATAACCAGATAAAATAAAGCACAGTGAATATTCCTTGACCCCTCTTGGAATTCAGTTCTCGGCCTCATCTGACTGAAAACCCCAGCTGCGTCTCTGACGATAGCTATATGAAAGCGCAAAAAAATACCTGCCGCGAAATATATTGGGAAAAAAATATCTTGCGCTGCAGTTTTACAGGAAAAAATATCTGTCTTGTTCCCCTGGGCGGAAAAAAATTCTTGCACAGTCGGAATCTTCCACCTCCCCAGAAAAATCAAATTGTCCGCCCCTAAATACGATACAATATCGATATATATTCACTTCGGTGTTGTTGAGCACTCTGCGGAGTTGTTAATGGGTGTCTATTAGCGATAATGCAAAGCTCACTTCCCTTGTGGTCGTTTGAGCACTCTGGCCCCATTACGCTCTGCGCATGTCTGGATACGTTGAGTCACCGTCTTGTACCACATGCCTTGGTGAGAGCAAGTTCATGGGGTATAAATACGAGTGTCTCATGTATCTAGACGTGTACCAAGCTGCACTGACGAGGCGTTGAACGCCGAAACATGCATGTCTGCAGATTGTACTATATATATATATATATATATATATATATATATATATATATATATATATATATATATATATATATATATATATATATATATATATATATATATATATATATATATATATATATATATATATATATATATATATATATATATAACTAATTAGACTTTTAATCAATTCTTTTTAATTTAAACAATAGAAAATTCGCTTCGCGCGAAGAAATTCGCTAGTGGAAAACAAGCTTAACTGGGGCCTAAATCACACGTACGTATAGGCAATCTGCCACCTGCAAAAGCGCTTCCCTCAACCCTCGTCGTATTTATATCGTCTTGATTCAATTTAATAGGCAAACTGCCAAAAGATAACAGTATAAAATCGCAGCTGGATGAGAGAATCCAAGCCCCCAAGCACTGTTGCTTTTCAGTGTTTCCACTTGTAGCGAATTTTTCCAAATATGAACTTTAATTTACAAACTTGAATTTTGGCGGAGATTTGCCACCTTCATCCGCCAAAATTCAACTTGCGAATACGAACTATAATGTTGGGAATACGAACTATAATGTTGGGAATATACGAACTATAATGTTGGGAATACGAACTATAATGTTGCGAATACGAACTATAATGTTGCGAATACGAGCTATAATATTGCGAATACGAACTATGTTTCAAAACAGCTGGAGTATAAAATTCGGAATGACTTGACTAAAAATATTGAAGATATAATTGAAACCAAATTTATTGAAATAGTAAATAATCATGGTAAAAATCTTATCATTGCCATTGGGGTTATTTATAGACCACCAAATAGAAATTTTGCGACATTTGAAAGCATTATGAATACAATCTTAGAAAAAATTGACAGAGAAAATAAACTGTGTTATTTAATGGGAGATTTTAACATTGATCTTTTCAAATCAGAGTCTTGTGATTATACGAGCCGCTTTATCGAACAATTATTCACTTCGTCATTTTTCCCATTAATAACTAAAGCAACACGAATTACTGATCACAATGAAACACTAATTGATAATATTTTCACTAATAATTTAGAAAAACTTAATGATAGTATAAATGGTATTGTTTTTAGCGATATTTCAGACCAATTGTGCATGTGTTTAACACAAACATTTTTAGTAAAAACAGAAGCGCAAATGAAGCTGCAGTAACCTATCAAAGAGTATATAGTGAAACTAATATCAGCGCATTCAAAAATGCAGTTAAAAATCTTTCTTGGAAGGAGGTATTAAATGAAACAAATGACCCTGAAAAAGCATTTAATGAGTTTCTGAGATTATTTATGGATGTATATGACGCACAGTTTCCACTAGACTTGCCACAAGTCGACCATGGGGGAGGGAGGGCGCGGGGGAGAGAAGGCGCAACCCGAGCGACGAAGTCGCGAATGGTCGACTTGTGTCCCTTGCAGGAATTTAAATCGCATTAAAAATTTTGGCGCCAATAATTTTGACATAAAATGGGTGTGTACATTTCATACAATTACTTCACCGCGCCGACAATTGGTCTACAAAAACACAAAAACATTCTCAAGAATTGATATTTCTTTGTCCTCGAATGAAACAGTTTGCACCGAGTGTGGAAACGAAATAACTGACGAAATAACTGACCCAAGTAAGCGCCGAAAGCTGTTCAATGTATCAACAAAAACGAGTGCATGTAAAAACTTATTGAATCTGGACAGTTGTTTGTCTAACAATGTGTGCCGTAATTGTGTCGACAAGAATAGTAATTTATTAGACTTATTATAGAAAGTTGATTCAGTTCGCAAGCGATTTAATATTAGTAGCAGAAGTTAATCTAATTGAAAAGAATCAGACAACTGTAACCGAGAAGCAGAGAGGCGGCGATTGTGGTCAACGAGAAGACGTCGCCAGAGTTCAAAATCCGGTAAAAATACGCGTTGTTTTCTCAACAAATGATTTTGTATTAATAATCAGTAATCGAGATCAAGAAACCCAAACTAAACCCGAAACTAGTGAGGAAATTTTAGAATCATTAGATGCATCTTCGGTACGTGACAGTATTAATAAAGTTTATTTCGACACCCTGTACTTTTAAATATACTCAATGTAATGCTTGTTTGTGTATTTTCACATGGTTTTTGTGTTCTACAAAATTGTAATTACATTGTTTGCTTTATTTGCTTCAATAGTACACATTTGTTCAACAAGAAAGCCTGAGAATATAATATTGTAATACAATAATAATGTAAACCGCTTCGGCAAATCGGCAATGTAAACAATGACCTCACCGGTGGATTTTTCCACCGGTGATATTTGGCGCGCTGCAACTGACAAAAGTCCTTTCCACAGAG